AAGTGCTTTTTCAATCAGGGGAACCCATAGCTGTAGAAGATACAAATAATTTAGAATCTCACATGAAAGGGGATAAAATGAAAAGTAACAGTTCAATACAAGAGCATGACGTACCTGGTTTTTCCTCCCTTCTGCAAAAGCGATAGATCTTGTTGCCGGTCGACAAGGAAAGAAGTCGTCCACTAAGACAATCTTCCACTGTCCATCTATGCATAGTCTTAATAAAAATAAATGTTGGGAACGGAATTTGTCGATTTCTAAACACATATTCGTGCGAAAAGGAAAAAGTGAAAGGTGGAGTGGTTACGAAAAATCAAATGTAGATAGTAATAAATTGCTCTTATCCCCCACCTCACTTGATAAGCACCACAATGAGAATACTCCTTTGTAAGAAGTATGTGCTCTAGGACATCCGGCCTTTCAGCAATGAGTGCCATCGCAGATAGCAGCCCGCAATTTCCCAAAACACCTGAAAACAACGATGCCACTACCCTAACTAGAAAATGGGTAGAGCGAGAAACATATCAACATAACCTCAACTCACACTTGTTGTCAAAATTATTTGAAAAAGCTTGAAGGTTTTTCAAAGATTAATCCACGTTACATACCTTGTTCTACATCTGAGGAACAGGGATCTCTGAAAACCGTCCATGGCCATGCTTGTCTATCCTTAGTGAACATTTGCTCAGGACGGAGCCATACGAACGAACGTGGAATGATACCTAAAACAAAGTCAAATTTGTAAAACTGCGTTGAGAGCCAATGTTAAGCAATTGCGAGAATATGCTTACCTACAACAGGTCCTAGTTCCGCATGCAGATCGCCTATAGATTCATCAGTATGAGGGAAAATGTCATCAACGAATGTGGTTCTGTGTTGCCTGAGATGAAGCAATTTTTGATTAGCTTGACAGATTCCAAATGAAAAATGGAAAAAATCTTACTCGCAGAAGCTTACGATCCTAGAATATGCGGCAACCGCATTCTTATAATCACGACGTTCCACATCTGTCATCACCTCCGAGCATAATGATGGCATTTTACCGTCTGCCGCCATGACGCCCTACATGACAATTCAATCTCTATTACGATAAGACTTCCGGTTAAAAAATTATTATTGAAGATAAGTTGAAGAATAATTGACTCACCGAAATTGAATTTGTTGATCTGGAAGTATCGCTCACGCTACCTA